GCTGCTGCTGTTGCAGCTGCTGCAGCTGCTGCTGCTGCGACTGGGGGTAGTGGCGCTGCAGCTGCTGCTGCGCGTAGAGTAGGCCGCGCTGCTGCTGCTGCTGCTGCTGCTGCTGAGGGCAGGAGGTCCTGCTTTTGCTGCTGCAGCAAAAAGAGGCAGTCTGGAAGATCTTGAGAAGCAAAAGGAGATTTAAAAGTTTTTATTTTATTTTCAAATTTAAAATTAAAACTTTTTTCTGGCGATTTGGCCGGCAGCAGCAGCAGCGGCGCTGCTGGGGTGTACGTACACCTCAAGCAGCAAAAGCGACGGAGTCCAGACACTGCGGAGCTCATTTCCTTCTAGCTGCTTCTGCTGCTGCTGCTGTTTGTCTAATTTCTGCTGCTGCTGCTGCTGCCGTTGCTGCTGCTGCTGCTATGATTGCTGTTGCTCCCGCTGCTGTAGTGCTGCTGCTGCAGTGGCTGCTGTTGCTGCTGCGGCTGCTCCAGTTGCTGCAGCAGCTGCAGCATCGGCAGCACCAGTTGCTGCTGCTTCAAACTCTCCGCTGTGCTGCTGCTGCTGCGGTTTTTGCTGCTGCTGCTCGCAATCGCCAGCAGCAAGCAACAAGCGGAGGCCAACCACAAACCCTAAACCCTAAACCCTAAACCCTAAACCCTAAATTGATTCTTTAATATATAAATTAGTGTTTTTATTCTTTTTGAAATAAAAATAAGGGTTTAGAGGAGTAAGTGGATTTCCTGAGCCCCTCCAGGGGGCCCCCCAGGGGCCCCCAAATGGGCGCCGGGGCCCACGGGGGGCCCCGGGGGCCCCTGGGGCCCCAATTAAGAAAGTGTATAAAATAGGGTTTAGGGTTTAGGGTTTACGGTTTAGCTTTTATGGTTTAGGGTTTAGAGTTTAGGCTTTAGGGTTTACATGCAAAAACCTCACTGCCTTTATAGTCTTACCTCCTTTTATACTAATTTTTCGGAAGAATCCTTAATTCTACACCCTAAACCCTACACCCTAAACCCTAAACCCTAAACCCTAAACCCTAAACCCTACCTTCCTCAGCTGCGGCCACCCCAACGAGTTCGCTCTTCACGTGTGAAGCAGTTTGCAAAATGAAACGGCTGAACACTAGACCCTAAACCCTAAACCGTAAACCCTGAACCCTAAACCCTAAACCCTCAGTCTTAAACACTAAACTCTAATCTCTAAACGCACAAATCACCAAGAAGCCCTAATGCCCAGATCAGTAGGGGCGAACAACAGTGGACACCCAAGGTTTCTAGTTTAGGATTTAGGGTTCAGGGTTTAGGGTTTAGGGTTTAGGGTTTAGGGTTTACGGCTTATGGTTTAGGGTTTAGGGTTTAGATTCCAGCGTCGGCTGCCAAAATCTAAATTCCTGCGGCCTCGCCGAAAACCCTAAACCCTAACAAAGCCCTCTAAACCCTAAATCCCAAGTCCGAAGTCCCAAACCCTAAACCCTAAGTTCTAAAGCCTAAGCCCTAAACTCTAAACCATAAATCCTAAACCCTAAACCCTAAACACTAAACCCTAAACGCTAGACACTGTTGGCTAAAATCTAAACCCTAAGCCCTAAAACCCAGAAAATAGAGGGGAGGCAGCAAAGCGCAGCAGTAATTAGGGTTTAGGGTTTTAGACAGCAGCACATCGCTGCTGCTGCTATGCTCATGCTGTGCTGCTTCTGTGCTGCTGCTGCCATTGCTTCTGCTGCTGCTGCTGCTGTTGTTGTTGCTAGTGCTGCTCTCCTTCCTACTGCTTCCGCTGCAACTCTTGCTGCTGCTGTCACTGGAGCTGCTAGTGTTGCTGCTGCTGCTACGGCTGCTGCTGCTGCTGCTGCTGCTGGCTTGCTGCTTGTGCTGCTACTTTGGCTATCCCCCTCCATAATGCCCTGTCGCTGCTGCTGCTGTCGCTGCTGCTGCTGTCGCTGCTGCTGCTCTTACTGCAGCTGCTGCTGCAACTACTGCAGCTATTACTGCTGTTGCTACTGCTGTTGCTGCTACTGTTGCTGCTACTGTTGCTGCTACCACTGCTGCTGCTGATGCTGCTGCTACTGCTGCTGCTGGGACTCCTCGTACTGCTGCTGTTACTGCTGCTGGTACTGCTGGTGGTGCCCTTGCTGCTGCTGTTGTTGCTGCCAGTGCACTAGCTGCTACTGCTGCTGCTGCCGCTGGTAGTGCCGCAGCTACCGCTGCTACTCCTACTGCTGTTGCTGCTGCCGCTAGTGCTGCCGCTGCTGCAGCTCGTTCCGCTGCTGCTGCTGCTGCTGCTGCTGTTTCAAGCGCAGCGGCTTCTTCGTTGTTCTTGGCGTGAATCTTGAACATAAGCTACCCTCATAAACCCTAAACCCTAAACCCTAAACGAGGGTTATGGGCCCACGGACGAAGCTCTTAACTCTATGCCCTCATACTGAAACCGTTGACGGATGACAGAGACGATTTGGGCAGCAAGGAAAGTGTGTTCCGAGGGAGGGTTTAGGGTTTAGGGTTTCACCCAACTGCCTTGGAGGCACTGACGCAAGCCTTTTTGTTTTAAATAAATTTACTCAATCAAATAATTCACTGCAGCAGCAGCAGGAGCAGCAGCAACAGCAGCAACAGCAGCAACAGCAATACACCGAGCAGCGGTGATCCGTGTTCTAAACCATGCAGGCTGGGACCTAAACCCCGAATCCTAAACGCTAAACCCTAAACCCTAAACCCCAATTTTATTCATTTTCGAAAACTTGACGGAATAAATAAAATCTACGGAGCAGCAATTAGGTGTCTGTGCGCCGGAAACGGAATGCGGCTGCTCACTGCTCAGGGTTTAGGGTTTAGGGTTTAGGGTTTAGGGTCTACTGTAAGGGTTTAGTATTTAGGGCTTTCTTGCCTCAGGCGCTGAAATTTTTTTGGAACTTTTGTGTGCTGCTCTTCACTGTTGAGGGTTTAGGGTTTGCGGTTTAGGGTTTAGGGTTTAGGGTTTGTAAACCCTAGGTCGGAGGCCCCACAGCTGCAGCCCCATAGACAGTGCAGCAGCACAGAGCAAGTCACTTCCGTTTGCTGCAGAGCAATTAAGCAGTCTAGAAACCCTAGTTGATAAATGTCAAACCCTAAACCCTAAACCCTAAACCCTAAACCCTAAGCCCTCGCGGCCGACGGCTCGCTCGCTCATTCCACTCAAACTAATGCGCAGCCTATGCTTAAGGCTCTAGGGTTTGCTCTCCTCAACATTTAGGGTTTAGGGTTTAGGGTTTAGGGTTTAGGGTTTGAGGCGGTAGCGCCCTAGGGAGCTGCCTGCAGCAGAAGTGCAGCAGCAGCAGCTGATTGCTGCCGCGCCTGCTGCTGCTGCTGCCTCAACTGCAGCGTAAGCCCTAAACCCTAAACTTCGAGCCGAAAACCCTAAACCCTAAACCCTCAGCTGCGAGCATGGTTAGGTTTTCCTTTTGTGCTGCTGCTTGAGGGTTGTTCTGATCTAAGCTCCGGGGTTTAGGGTTTAGGGTTTAGGGTTTGGGATTTCCGCCTTCGCCTACATTCCCCAGAAGATGGTGGGGTCCTCAGCAACAGTGCCGCGGTCACGGCGCAGCAGCAGCAGCAACAGCAGCAGCAGCAGCAGCAGCAGCACTTGCAGCCGCAGCATTACCCCCGGGCCCAGCGGGCCTGGCAGCAGCAGCAGCGGCAGCAGCAGCAGCGTGACCCCCTGCACTTCCAGTCGCAGCAGCAGCCCCAGCAGCAGCAGCAGCAGCAGCAGCAGCAGCGGGACTGCCTTCTACCGGTATTGCGTGTCTCCTTTCTGCGACTCCATTTGTTCTTTGCTGCCGCGCTGGATGCACCCGGATTTGATTTCTTTCTTTGGTTTGTGCTGCGCTGCTGCTGCTGCGTTTTGCTGCTGCGTCGAGCCCAGCAGCAGCAGCAGCAGCAGCAGCAACAGCAGCAGACTCG